AGTAAGGTTCCATCTGGTGTCGGTCTCCTACTGCGGCTACATGGCTTCCTCACTTATTCCACCTACTTTCTCCCAGCATTCAGTTTAGTTTTCCTGCCTAGCTCTATGCTGCCCTGCTATAGGCCCAAGCAGCTTCTTTATTCACTAACAAAATATATTCACAGCATACAGAGGGGAATCTCACATCACAGAGATGTGAAATAACTTGCTTGAAGTCAGAAAGTGCAAATGCTAGATCCAGGTCCTTATTTGGCCTGGACTAATCTAGATACCTAGGAGGTAGTTTAGGCACATATTGCGGAGGGAGTCAGCCACACAGGGCAATGAGTTCTAGGTGACAAGTAAATGTGGACCATATTCAAGAAGACAGGAAGGCAGATGATATCTGCATATTCTAGTTGCTGGACTGGATCATTCAGAGTGGCTAGCAAGCTCAGCAGGAAGAAGCTCATAGAAGGTAGCATATAGTGTGGGACAGAGGCCCAGGAAGAAACAGAGGACAAAGACCACATAGACCTGCCTGAATGATAGTTGGTAGTCTTGATTCTCTGTGGCTGGACATCAGGATCCTTATAGAGCCAGAGACAAGAAAATTGAGCTGGGAACCAGGTTGGCCTAGAAATAAATACTGAATATACATCAAACTGGAGGTTTCAATGCCAACCTATTCAAAGATGGCAGCTCAAAGAAAACTTAGGTGGTTGTGAATGTGGCTCAGTAGGTAGAATATTTACCTAGTGTGCATGAAGCCCTGGTTCATTATAAAAACTGCACAAACCAGACATGGTGGTTTATGCGTATAATCCCAGCACTTGAGAAGTGAAGGCAGGTGAATTAGCACTCAAGGCCTATAGTGATATTTCATTTGTATTTTAATAAATAAAATTTGCCTGAAGATCAGAGTGCCAAGTTAGCCACTCTAGTCAGCCATACAGGCCAGGCAGTGGTGACACACACCTTTAGTCCCAGCAGCCACACTAGTTAGCCATAGAGGCTGGGCAGTGGTGGTGCACACCTTTAATCTTAACACTAGAGAGGAATATAAAACGGGAGGAGATGGAAGCTCAGGTCTCAGTCTGTAGTCTGAGGTTTGGTGGAGAGCATTGTAGTCTGCAGTCCCTCTAAGGATAAGGTCACCCTTTTGTTTGTCTCAACCTTGGTAGAGGTAAGACCTCTCTAGTGAATTTACTGCTTTGCTTTTCTGACTTTCAGCTTCAACTCCAGTATCTGTCTCTGGGTTTTATTATTCATCCTACCAGGACCTTGTCTCATGTAGGAAGGAAGGAAGAAGGATGGAAGAAAGGGAAAACCAAAAACATTGCTGTATATTGAATCGCTTTCTGGAGGCTCAGATCATATTGTATTCTGTCTCCAAAGTTCACCAGGTCTTGACAGCCTTCCAGTCAAGTGTGTTTCATTTGGTTTGAGTGTTTCTGCTTACTGCAACCCATCCATTCTTCCTGGAGGAGAAGGGATGGACATTTGAGATATGCAAGAGGAACACTATACTGAACTCTAAGAGTAGGAAATTAGTTGACGGAAGTTGCTATGATAGATAAAGCCTGGACCTCAGTGGTCTTGGCTGATTCTTGTTTATGCTACAGTGAGCAACTATTCCTGGTTATTTAGGCTTCATCCAGAGACTAGATCCTTTCATCTGCCTTGTGGTTCTTCTCTTTTGTGGGTCCTTGGAGTCTTCTGCATACAGCCTTAAAAGTGGGCTGCTCTTACAACAGTGTTCTCAACCTTCCTAATACTTCTGTGTTCCGCGCTACTGTCTCGCCAGCAAGAACGACGCAGGGCACGTAGGATCCTTCTGCAGAACAGCTTTTTAATGCATCTTGAGAGCGAGAGCATAAGCCAACATGGCGGAGACCCAGAGCGAGGCGAACCCAACCCTTATAAAGGAAACAGTCCCCGCCTCGGACGTGTCACTCTCAGATTGGTCAGCTACCCATCATCCCAGATGACGCCTCGGGAGAGGCAGGGACTACAGCGTTGGAAATTTACCAACACATGTGCGTTATCCTGTTCACCGGGCGGGGGAACCGGATGTCAGCGCCATCTTGCAATGGCGAATGTGGTTGCGGTCCTCTACACTTCTGCCCTTTAAAACAGTTCCTCCTGTTGTAGTGACCCCCCAACCAGAAAATTATTTTTATTGTTACTGCATAATTATAATTTTGCTACTGTTATGAATAGTGATGTAAATATCTATCCCACTGGTCTTACATAATCCCTATGAAAGGGTTGTTTGACCCCAAAGGGGTTGCGTCCCACAGGCTGAGAGCCACTGTCTTATGGGGAAGCACTCTTGCCCAAATGAAACAAAGATCTCTGCCACTTGCTTGCCACTGTGGAGAAGCAATCACTGAATTCCACCAAAACGCAAGCAGCTGATGTTTCTGGAAGCAATGTACCTTCTCGACAGACAGTTAAACAGGCCAGATGTTGTCATTCACTCCTGTAAACTCAACATGGTTTGATGAAAGCATTCTACAACTTGGGTAGGGAGCAGCTGGGTGACATTGTGAATGAACTACATACTATAGGACAGGATTCCTTACAAGAGTTAATGCTGTGTTATGTATCTTCCATCTATATTTTAAAATATGCAAGGGGACTAAGAAATGTAGTTCCTGGCTAGGAGGCTGTTGTTTGCTTCCTTATGCAAACCCCAACACTCTAGAAGGGGCACATGTGTCTTTGGTGAGGAGTCAGTATTTGTGTTCACATTTCTGCTGTTTCCCCCATGTTCCAACACATATTTTCAGTACTCAGTGCTGAAAAAAAATGCTCAGTGCGTATGCACACAAGTTCTGTCTTGAAACAGAGACGGTGGCGGGGGTGGGGAGACAGAAGGGAAAGGGGAGGGGAGGAAAAGGAGAGAGGAGAGGAGAGGAGAGGAGAGGAGAAGAGAGGAGAGAACTACACATGTATGTGGAGGCCCAAGGTCCTCTTCAGTCTCTACCTTATTTTTTTGAGACCAGGTCTCTTCCTGAACCTGGAGCTCACCAACTACCTAGGTTGGCTGCTCAGCAAGCCTCAGAGAGCCTCATGTCTTTCTGACACTGGGATTACAGGTGAATGACACAGATTTTTCTGTGGGATTTAGGGATCAGCTTCAGGTCCTCAATCTTCTGAGAAAGCACTTAACCACCTCCCCATCTTCCTCATTTTCCTCTTGAAGTGAATGGACAGTGCACTCCAGGCCGATGGTGCAGCTTCTTTTTTAATGACATAAACAAGCTTCCAGGTAAAGTTCAATATACAGAGGCCAACGGCCTGGATATCTGAGATTCTTCTTGACAGGCATGGAGTAGATGTAAAGATGACTGGGAAATTCCTCCGTCACCTCTGATGCTGAGAAGGGCTATCAGGTCCACTGGTCCTTATGGCTCTGACACCACTCTGAAGATTTCTTCTTGCTAAGCATCTCTGGAGTCACATGCAAATTGAGTTTTGGAGAGTTTGCCCTATGCAGAGGGTACACAGCATTCATAAGCTGGCTTCCTGCCCGTGCAGGTCCCCACCAACCCAAGTTGTTTAATGCTTGAACAGTCAAAATCTTTGCTACTTTGTACTTATCAATTTCCTGGCAATAAGATGCCCTCAAAAATGTCATCGGCTAGGCCAGGCATGGTGGTACATGCCTTTAATCCCAGCACTCAGAAAGCATTGATAGACAAGCTCTGAGTTTGAGGCCATTCAGCAAAAGAGTGAGACCCCGTGTTAAAAAGTATTAGCACAGGCTTCTTAATGGACTCAAACCAATACTTACTGCATAATTTTAGTTACCTGACATCCATTAATAGGCAGAACGAGTTTAGGAGGTGCTTAGGTATAACATGAGGGCCAGCTTGTTGGGGTATCTGTTCCTGCCCAGTACCCCATAGCCGGCAAGTCCCAGAGAAAAATCAATCACACAGCGATCTCTATAAGTTATAAAGTTGATTGGCCCATTAGGTCAGGCTACTTATTAGCTCTTATAACTTATGTTACCCCATTATCCTTATCTATGTTAGCCACATGGCTCAGTACCTTTTCCAGCGGGGCAGCTTACATCTTACCTCTCCGGTGGTCTGGGCAGGAATGGCGGAGGGAGCTTCCTCCTCCCTAGCCTTCTCCTATTCTCATTGCCTGCCTCTACTTCCTGTCTGGTTGACCCGCCTATACTTCCTGCCTGGCCAATCAGCGTTTTATTAAAATACACGATTGACAGAATACAGATAATTCTCCCACACCACTTAGGCACTACAGTGTTTACTGAGCAAATGAAGACCTGAGATTCCCAAACCCACATAAAAATAAGCAGGTGTCACACATGCTCTGAGATGAGGACAAGCAGATCTCTGCGGATGGTTGACCACTCTAGTATAGCTGAATTGGCAACTTCTAGGCCAGTGAGGAACCCTGTGTCAGAAAACAATGTGGATATAGCATTCTAAGGGATATCTGAGGTTGACCTTTGGCCTCAGCATGTAGATGCACCTACAAGTACACATACATACCTGCACATGTGTACACCTCTATGAACATGTAATTTCATAAAAACTGGCAAAACTCAGTGATGATGACCCTTTGTGTAATGTCATTTGATGTCTCCGAGAGAGTCCAGTCCCTTTGATTTGGAATCTGTTAGATGAGAAGACAGAGATGATCAGAGGGTCTGAGGTGCTTGCTTCAAGTCACACAGCTATTGACAGCATAGACAGGACTCAAACTCAGATCTCCTACATTGCAGGCCACACAGTTCTCACCCCCAATTCCAGGAGGAAGCAACAGAAAAACTAGATTACAAATGCAGCTTCTCCTTTCTGTGATTTTTAACTAGCATATATGAAATATACTGCCAGTCTAATTTAGTTATGATTAGGTAACCAGGAGGCTGATTATGCTGTAAATTTAGATTAAGGAGCTGTTGTTTTCAATTAGACTTGATACTACTCTGACCGTTTTTCTGGCCTCTGAGAAAGTTTCACATTTCATTTTGTCCACAGGTCTGGGATATTGGTACTAAAGTTCTTGGGCACCCTCAGTCTGATGCAGATTTGGACCTGGTACGTAATCCATTGCTGGCAAAGGCTTTCTCAGTAATAAGGACCCTACTGGAGTGGCTCAGACCACAAGGGAGGGCTTGAATCTCATGCAATAAGAAGTTTAGAGGTAACTCAGTTCCAGGGTTGGCTGATCCACTTTTGAAACATCTGTGACTCAAACACATTCCAATTTTTTTGTGCATCAAACTTATCAAGTACTGGCTTCCAATCTCAGCTTGACCTATTGTATTTTTGATGGTTGGCTCTGGCCCAAGCTTTTCCCTCAGAGGGAAACATTCCTATCTCACGTCTCTTCATACATATTGTCGGTTTCCATAGACCTCTCTAGAATCTTTGGCCAGAATTGTGGCACCAACATTTTTTTGAGTCAACTCTTAGTGACATTCACCATGGACTTAATCTTGGGGCCCATAGTTTCCTGAGGTCTGTGGCAAATGGTAGAGACTATAAATGGAAAGACAGAAAACTGAAGAAGAGAAGGGAAAAATAGCCTTCACCCTGGATCCAGGTTGAAGCTTCCCACCAGCTGAGACAGGTCAAGGGGAACGGAGTGTACTTGCACTCCAACTTCTTTTACCCCTGACCCAAGGGGTTTTCTTCCACCAGTTTAGCCTCAGGTACCTCTAGGCTTCTTGTGATGATTAAATAAGATAATCCATATAACATGGTTAGCTTAATGTCCGGCGGAGACAGCAGGCAACGGTGGTTTGCTAATGTTATCATTGGTGTTATGATTGCCCCGTGTTCTGTGCACCTGGAGAAGGTGCCGTACTCCAACCAGCTCAAACCTGACTCCCTCTTTTTGTTTGTTTTAAGAGTAATTGAGTCCAGAGGAGAGGCAGCTCCTGTGGATGATGACAAAACCATTGGTGCATGCCTGATACGCAGCAGGCAGACAGTGACTGTTGTAACAGGCCCCAGACTTTAGTAGACCCCCAGACTTAGCACAACTGATTCCATGATGGAAGTGCTATTAAGGCCATAAAACTCAACAGACAGACAGTACCACCTGCCAAAATGAAAACAAAGACCTAATCCATCAAAGTCTGTAGTTTTGGTAAAGTCTCTAAATGTACTACTTGGCTTCTGTAGTCCTGCTTCGGGCTAACTGTTCTTGTTAACTGAAGTGTGTCAACCCAGAACATGGTTTTTGTGCTTCAAAGGTCATCCCGAGAAAGGCTTGGGGCTACACTGTAATCTGAAACACCCAGTGTAGTGACCAGGCTAACAAAGACTTTCTATTGGCTTAAATCCATGTCTGAGCAGTCTTCTCTGGTGAATACCTCACAACTGTTCTTCACTTTCTTGACTTAAAATCATCCAGCTACATTCATGATGTCTCCATTTCCCTTCTAGTGAAAGCTCAGAGATGCTGCAGCTGCTGTCTTGGAGGCATGGTGCTCCAGTAAAGAGGCCACCATTCAGAAGCTCTGTAGACTTCCTTACAACACAGATTCCTCAAAATTTTGGACCAAATTAACCACAGAAGTTGAATAATTAAACCACATGATCTGAGAGGCTTGACTATCCTCAAAAGTCAAGAATATTACAAAATCCACAATTACAGCAGTCCTTTTAGATAATCCGTAGCTTTGTTTCAATGCTCCTACCCTCCCCTATTTTTGAGACATGGTCTCACTTTGTACCCTGGGCCAATTTGGAACTCATTCTGTAATCCAAGATGGGCTCCAACTTCTGAAAATCTGTCTGCCTCAGACCCATGGATGCTGGAATTATAAGTGTCACCATACCTGGCAATATGAATTTAATTTCACTCTATACAATTATCGCTATGACCAGCTGAAGTTCAGGGAATCAGTGATAAAGATTAAAACTCCAGTTTGCACCAGATCTAATGATTACATGTTTCTAAGATGGGTTATCATTGTAGTTTTTTAAAATATTTATTTATTGTGTATACAATATTCTGTCAGTGTGTCTGCCTGTGGGCCAGAAGAGGGCATCAGATCTCATTACAGATGGTTGTGAGCCACCATATGGTTGCTGGGAATTGAACTCAGGACCTTTGGAAGAGCAGGCAATGCTCTTAACCACTGAGTCATCTTTCCAGTTCTTTTTTTTTTTTTTTTTTTTTTTTTTTTTTTTTTTTTTTTTTTTTTTTAAGACAGGTTTTCTCTGTGTAGCCCTGCTATCCTGGAACTGCTTTGTAGATCAGGGTGGTGTTGAAATCAGAACTCCACTTGCTTCTTCCTTCCAAGTGCCAAGATTAAAAGGTATCACCGCAGTTAGCTTCTTTTCATTTTTTAAAAAGAAAATTACTAGTGTTAGGTGTGGTGGTGCCTCTAATACTGGCGCTTGGTAGGTAGGGACAAGTGGGTCTCTGTGAGTTCTCGGCCAGCCTGATCTACATAGTGAATTCCAGAACAGCCAGGGCTACATAGTGAGAGAAAATCATTAGTATGGATTTATCAAGTTTTCCATTTTCTATTTATTTTTCTAAAGCAATGAGGAGTAGGTATGGGAAGATTGCTCAGCAGTTAAAAGCGTGTAGCTCTTGCTGAAGACTGGAGTTTTAACCCCACCATCTACATCAGGTAGCTCACAACTGTTTAGCTCTAGCTTCAGATGGTCTGATACCCTCTTCTGAATTCTGCAGGCACCTGCACACACACACACACACACACACACACACACACACAGAGGCATGCCCACATACACATAAATAAAAATAAAATTAAAAGAACAGGGAGGGGAAATGTGGAATTTTCATCTGTATGTACTAGGGACAGATAGTATATGACAGGGATGCTGCCAGTGCTGACCTGCGTGCCGATAGGGCCAGTTCTGCACCAAAGTTAGAGTACAGAAGGCAGTTTCAGGTAGTGAATGTGAATGTCCTGACTGTCTGAAATAAATAGAAACTGGGATTCATTTGTATGGGCCTCTTCTTCCATATGGCAAGACAGAAATAACTCTTCCCAAATAATCAGCATGTCTATAAAGGAACCCGGGCCACTACCTAGTGTTTATCTCTGTGGGGTGTTGGAGATAAGCTCATCAAGCATTTTGATCCAAACTCCTGGGATGCTGGTGAGGATTGCCTGAATCCACTGGCCATGAAGAGTCGGATGTCTTGGGCTCAGTGGTGCCAATCATGGACACCGTGACATCTGCTGTGCTGGCTGATGGTAGAAGACCAGTTTTGCTTTTCAGCTCCGTCAGACCAGACCTTGCAGGCCACAGCTGAGCTGCATTTGGTCTGGGTCCCTTTTCCACTGAAATGCCACTGGGATTAGGCATGCTCTATTACTGTGACATTTCATCACCAGAATTTCAATTGCCCTGAAAACATTTCTCATTTCTCATCTCCAAACTTTCCTGTAATCCTGTGGCAAGTTTTTCATTCCTTTTCTCTTGCATACTCCATTCCCTTCATTGTAACTTCTAGAACTCTTGCTCCAAGGTCAGCCTTTTCTATTTTTTTTAAAAAAATATTACTTCATTTTATTTTATGTGGATGGATATTATGCCTGCTTGTATAATTGTGCACTATGCATGTGCAATTCCTGCAGAGGCTAGAAGAGAGTATCAGACACCCTGGAGCCAGAGTTACAGATGTGGGCTACCTGACAGGCGCTCTGTAAGAGTAACAATTCTTAACTATGATACATTTCCCCAGACCTCCCACCCATTTTAATGGATTTTTTTGTTGTTCAATTACTTCTCCCAGATTCCTTGTCTTACCTTGAATTTAACAATCATTTGACTACTGCCTCCCTTGTTACCTTCTGAAGGCAAACTGTATTCTCCCAACAGGGAAGGTCTGATGGTGGCCTCCTTGCTGCTCCTTTCTGTTCCTTTCCTAAAGTTTAAACTGCAAGGGTGTTCCACCCTACTTCCTCAGGAGTGACATCTCCAGGTCTTACAGTCATGTCCTGTAGTGATATTTCATTTGTATTTTAATGAGTAAAATGCCTGATGTTCAGAGAGTAAAATAGCAGCCATGATCAGCCTTACAGACCAGACAGTGGTGACACACACCTTTAATCCCAGTAGCCACACTAGTTTGCCTTAGAAACCGGATGGTAGTGGTGCACACCTTTAATCCCAGCACTAGAGAGGAATAAGAAACAGGAGGAGACAGATCTCAGTCAGTCTCATACTGAGGCTTCCTGGAGGCAGGATCGCCTTTTCAGACAGAGGTAGAGGTAAGAGCCAGTGGCTGACTGTTTTGCTTTTCTGACCTTCAGGTTAAAGCCCGATTTCTGTCTCTGAGTTTTTATTAAACGTACTACAATGCCCTCCCCGACGTTTTAAAAATGTCCATCTCCTGGTCTTGAGGCCATGGTCCCCTTCTCATCTTTTTTCCTGGATCATCTTTGTCTTTGTACCAGTTCTTATCATTCTCATGAGGAAGCTCCAGCATTCACATCCATAGTCCTTCTCTTTCTCTGGTCTCTTCCAGGCCCATTGGTAATAATTGCAGAGACAGTTACCATGGAGGCTCATCTGTATGGCTAAAAGGTTTGGATGTTAAACATCCGGTCAACAAACTGTTAAATAATACAGGTTTCATTTTCCTCCCCTGATCAATATTTTTATGATAAACTAAAACTAGGTGTAAAATATATGGTAAGGTATATGACTGCTGTGGAACAATCCTTTTCTACACTATGAATATGTACTACTCTCATTAATTAATATAAAGCTGACAGGCCGATAGTGGGGCAGGAAGTTAGGTGGGAAAGCCAAGCAGAATGATGGAAAAAGGAGGGCAGAGTCAGGAGAGATGCCAGTGACCCAAAGGACAGGTAAAATCACGAGCCATGTGACAATACATAGATTAATAGAAATGCGTTAACTTAAATGTAAGAGTTAGCTAGTGACAAGCCTGAGCTATTGCCTGAACATTTATAATTCATATTTAGTCTCTGAGCTGGTGGTCAGGACAGGTGATGTCCATTTACATATACTGTCTATAATTTATGGAGCACATCTGAGTGCCTTTTGATAGGCCAGGTAAATAAGTAAAAGTTATACATAATGTATTTATGTCACAAGAGTTAATTTTCTTGCCATAAGTGAATTGCTAATTATTTTGAAATCAAGACTTTCACTAACTGGTATTTAATTTAGAGTAATGACACATTAAGTTTCTTATCTAGGGACACTGGTTCTTTGGATGATTTTCACTAGTTTCAAAGTAGGGAAACCATTTTTCTGACATCAGAGCAAATGGAATTATGAATTAAGTTGTTAAAGCAAATGCTTAGATCAGAAATGAACCATAAATTTAACATAAATTTCTTTTTTAAAAGGCAGCACAAACATTTTTAACTTATCCTAATTATAGTTTTTAATGTTTTTTGTTATTCATTAACGTTTGAAACATTTTTCTGTCTATAAAAAATAATAAGTGTTTTGTGGGGGTCCTTGTAAATGTCATGGCAGTTAGAGAAATGAACCATGAACAGGTAAGAATGAAAGCTAGGTGCAGCCTAACTTAGTAGGTTCGGATCAAACTTATAGTGAAGCACGATTAATAAAAACAGAGACAGATATTAGGGTTCAACCCGAAGACCAGAAAAGCAAAGCAGCCAGCCACTGGCTTTTGTTTGTTTAAAAGATTTATTACGCATGCCTGCATATATCCCTACAGGCCAGTAGAGGGCACCAGATCTCATTATGGACGGTTGTGAGTCACTATGTTGTTGCTGGGAATTGATTTCAAGACCTCTGGAAGAATAGCCAGTGCTCTTAACCTCTGAGCCATCTCACAGCCCTTCAGAACATTCTGCTTCACAAGAAAGTCTGTCGGATATACTAGACCTGTTAACCAAAGATGGATGCCCCGATGTTGCAGAGGAACTTTGGGCAACTGTCCATCTTGCTCAGTTAATATTATTTCCTTCTTGGGTATCTGAGAGAGTTGAAGACTAGATAGTTATAGTTTTCCTTGTTTGTCTGATGCAGAAAGCAAGTTATGATAGAAAGTAAATTAGGTACAAGACTTGAACTCACCAAGATAGGATAGATATGGAGTATTTTCTCTGAATTTGTCAAATGAAAATGGACTAGACATTGTTGATATATGTATTGCCTGTATATATTATATATAGTTACTGTATTTATTGTATATAGTTTTTCTTATATTAGTTATAGCCTTATCTTTTATTTTATACAAAAAGAGGGAATGTAGTGGCAAGTCATTTGTATTTTAATAAATAAAACTTGCCTGAAGATCAGAAAAGTTAAACAGCCACACTGGCCAGCTTTACAGATCAGGCAGCAGTGACACGCACCTTTAATCTCAGTACCCACACTCGTTTGCTATAGAAACCCGTCGGGGTCCAGTGCTAGTCCAGACCATAAATTGTTTCTCTCGACCAGACCCCAACATAAACTATCTCTCTCTGGACTGGCGTGAAGGCATGGGTATAAAGACACAACTCACATGGCTTCTTCAGTAGGGAGATTCTCAGAGATCCCTCATGAAATCCTGAGTTCACATCCTGAAGAATTTCTCTGTTTATTCTCCAAACAGTCTTTATACCAAAATTTAACCGAGGGGAAATACACCAGCATTCTGTCTCCTAGGTAACCAGGTGAATGGCTTTTAGTCACATCCACAACTACCTGTGTGCTCTGTATGCTTCCTGTCCAGTAGGCTGAATTAGCATCTCTATCAGGCACCCTCCAAATTACAAAGAAAGAACCAAAACAACATCCTGACCCTTTGTTAGGTTAGCTACAGCCTGTCTGGAAGGCTACGTGACCATCCTCAGATACTGACTATGGCTTTAGAGCCTGGTTGCCATACCAAATGGGCCTACAGAAACCAGATGGTAGTGTGCATGCCCTTAATCCCAAAACTAGAGAGGATTATAAAATGGGAGGAGACAGTTCTCAGTCACAGTCTCATTCTGAGATTCCTGGAGGCAGGATCGCCATTTCAGACTGAGGTAGATATAAGAACCAGTGGCTAATGGTTTTGCTTTTCTGACCTTCAGGTTCAACACCTATCTCTGAGATTTTATTAGCCGTGCTTCACTTATAGTCTGAGGCCAGGAAGTTTATTGTAAGCATATTTTAACACAGAATTTGGAAGAAAGGTTTCCAGGCAATCACCCCACTTCCAGGTGCACAATAAAATTTAAGGCATGACTGCAGAGAAACTCCTTTGCATAGGAAGATGGATTCTGTAGCTTAAGGTCTAAAATCCAGTGTGGCTTCTGATTGAGATAGCATAGAGGTCAACAGTCTATAAAGTTTGTGTGACATCCACCCTAAGGATGGGTACTATTAACTGGGAGCTAAAGACCAAGTTCTAGGGAGGGAAACTTTGGGATAACCATTCTGGGGGATTTGGGGGAAGTCTGATCGTACAGAGAGCAAAAGGTCACCAGGTCGTTAACAGTATTCCACTCTCAGCTTTCTGCGTGGACTGTAGGTATTTTATTTCCTCCATAGAGGAGACAGCCCTGTGTGATTAACATTCCTGGTTTCCCTAGTTCTCTGTGGGCGCAAGGACCTTTGTGCCCCCAGCAATGCTTGTTGTAAAATTAAAAGATACAAAGAAGATTAAAGCATCCATAGTCATTTTCCCTCTAGATAAACTTCTATGAACGTTTTAAATTGATTTTCTCTTTAAGCATATAAACTTACACATATATTTTGCAGGTATATTTTTACTGCTTTAATAAAACTCACATCCTAGTAGGAAACAGAAAGAAACAGAAAACACGAAGAGGTTAACATCGGGGACTATGGAAAGGTGTATAATTATTAATCTGAGCCCACTGTTGGATCAGTGTTCCCGATATTGTTGTATCTGTCTCTACATACTGAACAAACCAGCAGTAGTTTTAAGTTAATAACTACTAAAGCATGATATACTTTAAAGTATAATTTAACAGTGGCTTACAAAGTTCTAAGTAAGGGTCAACCAGTTATTACAGGCCCATTTGATTTCCCTTTAACGTTTCTTACCCATGACCACCTATAAAACCTGTCAATGATTTCTTTGACCAAACCTGTTTTTAAGTTTTTCCATAATGATGTTTAATCAGTAAAAGTGTATTGAGTATCTTAATAAAATACACATGAAGAGTTCAGTATTTACTAGTGTGCTGGGAAAACCTCCTTGAACAGGGCCGTACTAGAAACGTTTACTATGCTTGTACCGTTCTTGTCAGTTCTAAAGTTTTTCTAGTATTCTGACTTTCAGATCCATGAGTTAGTCAAGGGAATAACAGGGACTTGCTATTGTTCAGTTAATGGTTTCTAACTACACAGTGGTCAGAGAATGTGGTTGCTGTGATGTCAGTCCTCAGACACGCAGAGACACTTGCTTTGGGACCCAGTATATTTATCTTTAGTAAATGTTTCATATATTCTTGGAAAGAATGTATATTGTGCAATCCTTGAAGCAATATTCTGTATGTCTCAGTTTTGGGCTCCAAGGGCTAAGAAAGGCACATACCAGCAGCCTACCCCATTTAGAGTCTGTATCCAGGGCCTGCCTCAAGCCTATACCTCTGTTTCCAAGCAAAGGCTGAGACTGCGAGGCCAAGACCTAGGTGGCAAAAAGCATGTGTCGGTGGTGGTGAGGGAACCCCACTATAAAAGATAGCCAGCACAGATCGTGATGGGACACTCGGGAGGCTGAGGAAGAATGATTGCCAGGAGTTGGAGGCCAGATTGCTCTACAGAGTGGGACCTTTTTCTTTTTTTCTTTAAAAAAACAAAAGCTGATACACATAACCGCTGCCCGCAGTTTTCTCTTGCACTCCGGGTCACACCCAGGTTCCCAGAGGTTCTGGGACCAAGTCAGAGAACGCGGGCGTGCGTAGACCAGTCCTCTATGACGTAATGCAAGCGGGGGCGGGGCCGGCGGATGCTGGTCTGGGCACCTGGCCTAGGCAGAGCCGGGGAGGTAGCAGCTGGGTCTCGTCGCGCGCGGAGTGGGACTCATAGCTCCCGCCCCCTTTCCGCCCAGCTTTTCCTGGGCCGGTCCCTCGCACCACGTGTCTTCCTGGCCGCGCCCCCTCACAGCTCTTCCCAGGCGCCTGTGGAAGCTGCTGTAAAATGTCGTGAGGGACGTCGCCGCTTTGCGGCCGTCTCTGTGAGAAGCAGAGCCCGGGAGTGCCCACCGCAGTTAGCGGTTCTTTGAGCGGAGTCCTGAGCAAGGGCTAAAGCACTCGGGTGGGCGCGCTCCTGGCCCCTCCGCCGCGCCCGTGAGGGCTCCGGGAAATGTGAACTCGAGGCAGCTGCTGTGCTCCCGGGCCTCGGGGAGGCAGGTGCCTGGGAGGCCGCCGGGGGGCCCGGCAGGATGGAGGAGAGCATGGAGGAGGAGGAGATGCTCAGCTACGAGGCGATGATGGACGACCAGAACCACAACAACTGGGAGGCCGCCGCGGACAACTTCCGGCAGCCTCCACCGCCACCGCCACCGCCACCGCTACCGCCCTCGTCGTCTATCCAGGATCCCGGCCGAGAAGCCCCGGGGGGCCAGCTGCTGGCTGTGCCCGCGGGTTCCGTGGACAGGAAGGGCCCTAAGGAGGGGCTCCCGATGGGGCCTCCTCCTTTGCCGGAGCCCAACGGGGTGATCATGATGTTGAAGAGCTGCGACACGGCTGCCGCGGTGACCAAGGCGGCCCCCACCCCCAGCTCCGCCATCAACATCAACACCTCCACTTCCAAGTTCCGTGAGTCTGGCCTTTTCCCCCCGTAGCCTCGGCCGCTCCTCCACTTCGGCTCGCCGAATCCCCCCCGCCCTGAGAGCAGCTCCACTTCCTTTGTTCCAGGCCTAGGTCTCTCTCTCTCCCCTCTTCCCTCCCACCCTCGTTCGGTGTCTGCAGCCGGTGTCTGGCCGACCAGCCCGGGCTGCTCGTTTACCTTCGCCCGCAGCCCCAGATTATGCTTCCCACAAGATCTTTATTACGCCTGGCCATCTCTCAACATTAGTAAGCTCTTTTTCTCACGCGTCCCCTTCAAAGTTTCACCTTACAAGGCGAGGGGGGACGAATAAGGCGGTCTTGAATTTCGTTAGCAAGAAGTCAGAAAGCAAAGAAATTTGACAACTTGTGTTCTTGTATACTTAGCCGCTACACTTTAAGCAAATCGGGAATCTGAACGTTGTCTTTTTATGTTAGCACTTTGTTCTTTGCTCTGTGCATATTTTGCATCTTCTCACGGAACTCTGAGTTGTTTCTTTATGCAGTGGGAACTGCTGCAACTGTTTTGAAGCTGATGTATAAAAATCACTTTTCAGAGAAGCAATTCAAGTGGCCATACCTAGGGCCCTGCCGCTTGTTGAACTTTTTAGCGCTCTGCCTTAACATTTAGTTGCAGGCGGAAGACAAAAAGTAATTCGAAAACATTTACAGTCGGGTGGTGTGCTTTCGTAGCTAGGGAAAGAACGAGACAGTGTTTTAACCCTGGGAGATGGTGTGGTAAAAGGAACGTGACCACTAGCGGTAGCCAGGTCCTTGTTAACTGCAAGTTTAAAATGACATCTGGTAATTTCATCTGGAGATTTTATTTATGGTTACCAATTTTATTAAGCTATAACAGTAATTGCCCACCTAATTATGAAGAGAAAATTATTTGTCCTGATGTTTATGTGTAGTCACAACCTTAGAAAAAAATTTTTTTATGGAAATAGCACACCGTGACCTTACATGCCTTCAAGATACTGCTTTAAGCAAAGACACTTTTGTGTAGGTGTGGATAGGAAGCTTTGTTCCTTGTTATGCATAGACGGAACTATCATTTATTTCATATAGGTTTTATGTTGAAGGTTATGTTGTGAAAATAGACCTTACAGTGGCAGCATGGTTTACCTTAAATGCTGAAGGAAGTTTGTATTAATGGTTAAGTAAACTTTCTTTGATGGGTTAAGAAATGAGCATAAAGAACAGAAGTCATCAGCCAAGCTGAGAGCAAAAGACGATCCCTTGAAAAGATGAACACATTTGGGGTGTTGGGGATGCAGCTGGGTTGATGAGTGCTCGCCTAGCTGGCTGGAAGCCCTGAGTTTGATTCCAGTACCTTATAAAACTTAACATGGTGACTAACAATTACAATCCCAGCATTTTGGAGGTAGAGCCATGAGGATCAAGAATTTCATATTCCTCAGCTGTATATGCTGTTCAAGGCCAGCTTGTGAAACATGAGACCTCGTTAGAAAGCAGAAAGGTTAGTAAGCTATGCAGACCTGTTAAAGGATTGGTCCAGGGCAAAAGTTGCAAATAAATGAAAAGATTAAAATAGAACATTAAATTTTAAAAAGCTACCATATGGTAATAAATTTGAGAAGGTAGATGAAGAAATCCATGGTTGTTAGGGAACTATTAACTCAGAACAGTTATCAGTAGAAAGCTTGGACTATGCTTAGACTTGTAATAGTAGTGATGAGGGCCTTCCCTTCCAAGTCTTTTGGTTCAATACTCAATAACCTTTCCTTTCTGTAAATTCTGGAACATAGGTCACAAAAGCAAGGCAAAGCCAAAACTCCCAAGGCCATTTTATGGGGATAGTGGAATCTTGATTCTAAAACTAGATAAGATTATATATATAGGTGTGGTTCACCTATTAGTGTAGAAATGAAATCCTGTATACCATTAGCTCATCAGATCTAACCATGTCAAAAGAATCATGATTCACAGTTTGTTCCAGTTTTTTTTCCAGTGTCGATGTATTAGTATAATTTATCTCAGCAGATTGGAAAAACATGATTTGATCATTTTTTTATGCCAACCAGCCAGTACCAGTTTTTTTTTTTAATGATAAAAACTTAGTAAGGCAAAGAGTGCAGGATGACTATATAAAAGTCATTACCAGACCTGTAGCTAATAGTAATGGTGGAGAAATTTTCAATAAATTCATTCTAAGATGGTAACCAGTCATAGATACCCCTATTTCTATTCCTGTTTAATATGTTAAGAAAAATCCTGGTTGCTGGTGTGATGGCTCACACCTTTAAACCCCCTCATGGGGATCTTACGAATTCCAGGTCAGCCAAGGTGATACAGTGTCTCACAAAACAAAAACAAACCCTTTAGAACTTGGCAGTAATATCATTTATCAAGAACCATTGAAACTTTGAGAAACTCAGTGTTGATAGATTGTTAGGTTGAAGACTAGCCTGGAAAAGTTAATATTTATACTAGTGGCAGTATACCAAAAATGGATGCCTTTGTAACAGTAACAAAATTATGGTGTCTGTATTTAAAATAATGCAAGAATACACAGATTTTTAAGGAGAGACAGTGAAACTTTACTAAGGAACTAAGGTGGACTCTAGTTAAATGCCTCAAATTTCCATGTTCTTGAATCAAATTATTTTAAGAATTCCCTTTGTCTCCATTTTAATCTAGAAATTCAACTTAAATATCACCAACATTACGTTCGCTTTGTTTGACAAACTCAGTAACCTAAACCAGATTTTTGTGTTAGTGCCTGTTTCTCTGGTGCTTCTAGACAGCACTGGCTAGGCTCCACGCTGTCAGTCATAAAGTTTATCCTGACAAAGGTAGACAGTAGTAGGCTTTGCTGTGGCCCTGTTTACACGGTTTGGCTCTTTCAAGTGATTTCTGGTCTTTCTTACAGTTATGTGGGAGTGTTCAAATCTGCTGCTTATTTCTTATTTCTTGGATTGTGTTTTGTTGTGTTTAAAGACATCCTTGTGAACTTGGAGTGCATGTTTGTCAGATAACCTGCGCTCTGAATGTCCTCTTCCCTAACTTGTCTTTCTTTTAGTGTTTTCTGAGGAGTAGTTTTAGTTTTGATGTTAACTGATTTTTTTTAATCAGTTTTCTCTTCTATGGCCTGTTTTTTTGTTGTTTGTTTTGTTTGTATCCTGAGAATATTTATGTAATCCAGAGTCAGGAAGAGTTTCTCCTAGAAGTTTTGTGGGTTTAATTTCTAATCTGTGGTTTGAATTAGGAGTTTATATGTGTGCAGTGTGAGATTGACATTCTTTTTTCTCCATATACATGCCCAGTTGTGTCAGCAATATTTGTTGAAATACTACCCCTGCTGTTTTGGTAATTTTGCAAGAAAGTAACTGACTGTATATGTATAGACTTCAGTTCTGTTCATTCATCCCTTTGTATGTACATCATTTTCAGGATTGCTGTGTCCTGGACTATGGGTGTTTTATCAGGATGGAATGAATGCCTTTCTTTATCCCTGTAGTGTCTGATATCTGAGATGTTCAGGTTCATTGTAAGCTGTGTCTTTTCCAAGTTCATTCGTTTTTAAATTAAAGTGCTTTTGTGTGTGTGTGTGTGTGTGTGTGTGTGTGTGTGTGTGTGTGTACAACATGTGCTGTAGGAATTCCTACAGCCAGTAGCCTTTAAGTTACCCGCCTACTTGGGCATGGCCTCTTATACTATTTATGCCGATGTAAAGATTTATTTATGGCAACCTTTGTGTTTCCTTCCTTTCATTTTCCCTTTCCCTTTCCTCCCCTCCCCCACCCTTCCATTTTCTTCCTTTCTTTTATTTCCTTCTGGTTTTTTGAGACTTTTTCTTTGTAACCCTGGCTGTCCTGAAATTCATAGACCTTGAGCCCAAAGAGCTGCCTGCCTGTGCCTTTGAGATGAAAGGCATGGGCCTCCAGTCTCTAAATCTTGTTGAAAGCTCTTCACATTGACTGTAAGGTTGAAGTTCATTGTCTATTTTCTTTTACTTGTTTTTTAATCATTTGATTGTGTGTGTGTGTGTGTGTGTTGTGTTTTGTTTGTTTGTTTGTTTGTTGTGAGGATGGCCTTGAATTGCTTGCTGGTTCTCCAGTCTCCAAAGGGGTATATCTAAAGTGTTTTGCTCAGTTTTGATGAAATTTGTCTTCAGTTTGGCTTATCACTGACCTTTTTTTCTCTTTAGTGGTCATTCTAAGAGTTGCACTGTGAAAATCTAACTTGAGTAATGCATAATCTTTTCATAGACTACCTCACAAGTGTTAAAGTGTGGCCTTGTTAGCAGTGTGTCAGTGGCTTTGTTAGCCTCTGTCTCTGCTAGTAGATGAGGATGTAGCTCTCCACTAGTTATCCAGTGCCGTACCTGCAGCCATGCTCTCCACCATGGTGATAATGGGCTAAGCCTCTGAAACTGTAAGCAAGCCCCCCCATTAAGTGCTTTCCTTTATAAGAATTGCTGGGTCATGGTGTCACTTCACAGCAGTAGAACAATGATTTAAACAACTGGGAAAGAAATCTTTTATATTATTCTTTGTGTTTTTCTTCTTTAGTTCTGGACTTTCATAAAAACTTTTGCTTGCTTTTTTTTTTCTTTGTTTTATTTTGTTTTTTGAAGTAGGGTTTCTCTGTGTAGTCCTGGACACCCTTTAACTTGCTTTGTAGATCAGGCTAGCATCGAACTCAAGAGATTCTCCTTCTACCTTTGCCTCCTGAGTGCTGGGATTAACCACCGACTGGCTTTTTAATGTTTTTTTAGATGTGGTTTTGTTGACCTCCCACTTAGTCAGCTTTTGCTTGTCTGTAGAAGTCTTTGTTTTCTAAGAATATATTTTACTGGATATAGAATTTTATATTATAACCCCTTTCCTCCCATTATTATTTTAAAAGCTGTCTTTCTCTTTTCTCTCGACCTTCTTGTTTCTCTACAATTTTTATTCTTTGAGAATTTCATACATGCATACAATGTATTTTTATCATTCACCTCCTGTTCCCTCCTCCTAACT